TTTGTTGCACAAAAAAAAAAACACAATCCTTAGGGGGGGGGGGGCTTCCCCCCTTCCCTGGGGGGGCTTCCCTGTATGACACAATGTATAATGAGGAACGCAAAATCTGTTGTTTTATTGTTGTTGTGATTGTTAATAATAATAATAATAAATTATCATTATTATTATTATTATTATTATTATTCAAAAGCGTCATGCATTCAAACCGAGCATTCAAATCGCGTTCCCTTCATTTTTGTCCAGTCTGGCACCTCATACAAATGATGCTCAAACATGCTGTTTTAGTTCCGTTGTTTTTAAGCCAATCACTTCTTCGTCAATGGAGGAAACGGGGTTTTAACAAGACGATATTTTTTTAATTAACGCCTTTAAGTATATTATTGTTAACTGCTAAATACAGGAATTTTAATGTCAGTGGCAAATGCAAAACAGACGATTCTAAGTCGTCAATTTATGAATTTGAGATGACCTTTGTAATGGTGTAAAAGTGTTATAAATTCATCAAACTTTGTTTGTTACTTTGGTTAAGAAAAACCAAGTGCAGAAAGACTGGGTAAGGGATGATCCATCGTTTCATTATGGGGGAGGGGTTGGGAGTATATATAAAATTATTGCAGAATGGAAATTGCGATTTTATTACACCGCATTTAATCTTGGTGTTTATCGAACATTATAATCACACTACTTTCTTGTACTGCACGTGTTTGTTTAGAAGAATGTGTTATGTTCTTTTGTGTTACTGATGTGGTATACCCCCCTCTTCCATCAATGGTATATTCCCCTGGTGCTGCACTCTTCAGTAGCACCACAAATTAAAATTGTCATGTTATAGGGACTACTGAACAGACATTTAGAAGTCGATTTTAAAATGCAAAGTATTTACAATTAAAATAAAGCTTAGTGATGGAAATTTTGATTCTTTCAAGAGATTCGTTCATTTTCAGTTCGTTCACTAAAATTATTCGTTCAGATTCGTTCACTGATTCGTTCAGTGACCATTTCTTCATATTACATAAATACGCCAGCAGGTGGCGAAAAAGAGTGTCTTAGGTGAATACGTTCGTTGACTTAAAACATAACACGTTACAAAAACTGATTTGGCTTTATTAAAATGTGTGCATAATCTACTCATTAAATAAATAAAGTCTAAATAAGTTGTTCAGATGACCAAAGCACAAGGTTTTCTTGCATAATTAACATTTTAATTGTTTGGTCAGACAATTACACATTCATAAATCGGGGATTAAACAGTTATGTTCTGTATGCTAAATATGAATATATAAACAAGCGTATGTGCACAGTACCTATAACTGCGCTTTGCATCTGCTGATTGCTGTTCTAGATTGACATGCTAAATGGCCGACTGACCACCCAGCAAGCAATTTTGCATTTAAAAGACGTCGAAATATAGTCTAGACGTCTAGGCTGAAACGAGGCTAAATTTGGGCTGTCAGTGAAAATCTAATAGACGTCTAATCATAGCCCATTTATAGACTAGTCATCAATTAGACGGCTATTAAACGACTACATATATACGTCTAATAGACGGTGAATATGGGTCTAGGCTAAAACAAGGCTAAATTTGGGCTGTCAGTGAAAATCTAATAGACGTCTAATCATAGCCCAAGAATAGACTAGTCATCAATTAGACCGCTATTAAACGATTACATATATACGTCTAATAGACGGTGAATATGGGTCTAGGCTAAAACAAGGCTAAATTTGGGCTGTCAGTGAAAATCTAATAGACGTCTAATCATAGCCCATTTATAGACTATTGGCTCGAGGTTTAGTCATTCTTTGACAGGATGAAACAGTCCACAGAGCTACCCGGTTCACTTGCGTGCGCATGCGCTGCTAATAGCACCGCGCTGCTCTGGAGGGAGGAATTTCAGTGAACGAGAAATATGAGTCAATGGATTACGTGAACGAGAACGATTCGTTCACCTAAAAGATTCATTCAAAAAGAACGATTCGTTCACGAACGAAACATCACTAGTCTGTGTGAAATATTCTGAAGAGAGGTACGTGTCTCTGTTAATGGACAACTCAAACATGTTCCTAGAGCATATTAAGTAGAAGTTACAATGAAATCAGAACAAAATATTTTGGTAATACCGTTGTTGACCCTGTAATGTGTAAAATTAGAGGTTGTACATGTTTAATACTTGCATAAACTGTATCGCTTTAAACCTGCGATTGTGTCGTACTTCCATGAACGGTACAACATCTAAAATATCAGTTTATGTCCTGTGTTCATTCTCATCAGTATGAGGATGCTTGTTAATGTTAATCTGATTTTCATTTCATTACATTTGGATGATTGCTTAAAGTGAAATGCGCGCCAGTAATCGGCGGTGCATTTTGGGTAATGTAGTTCATAACTCAGCATGTTATATGTGTTAAAGAGAAGACACTGAAACTGTGAATTGTTACTTTGGTATTGTAAGTCGCCTGCATATTAGAAAAATGTGGCAATGCACTAACTAAATGATGTATTTGCAGATTGTGAAACCAGAACAGATGATTGTTGTAACACTGTCCCATTTCATGCTTGCAGTAAACACCCAAGAAAAGGCACTACTGGTGTTTATCCTTATTCGAGGTTGATCCTTTGGTGCATCCAGTGTTCCGCTACACCTTTCAAATGAGCATACGATAATAACATGCGAAAACAAGTGTTTATTTGTGGATTTGTAAGCATTCTGTTTCGTTCATCATAACAGTAACCTAGACTGAAAAATAATGCTGATGGATTGTGTTTTTATTATGATTTTCATCAGACAATCCCATTAACTGAGATCATACCGGGTGGTCTTCACCCAGGAGAGATGATTGTTATACAGGGATGTGTTCATAATGATGCGCACAGGTAAAATCCACTAAATACATCCGTCTGATTATTTTAAGTACATAAATGCATTATTAAGGTTCTATGTCCTTCTGAGACCCAGTTTCATTTAATATTCATTGTGGTGAATACTATTTACCTGCTGCATAAGAAACCGTCTGAATTTACCACCCACAGTGCAAAAACGTAAGCAATACTGTCATTCATCCAAATGAGTTTTAACATACAAAATCGCTATAATTCACCTAATTGTTATATTCATATTTCAGAGGTTGTAGTAGGTTCCTAGTGGCAACACTGACTTACTACAGATAAAAGTTTGGCAATAATTCCTTATATCCATGTACTATACTCGATTATTAGAGAAATAAAATCATCATAATTCACCTAAATGTTATAATGACATTCCAGTTGCAGTAGTAAGTCTTTAGTAGCTGACTAGATATGATTTTTCCAATATCTCCCTTTATATAAATATGTAGTTAGTTAGATATTTATACAGGTAGATAACTCAAAGAAATTAGCAAGAGTTATGTAGAAGCAAGAGCTAATGACTATTCTGGGGTTCTTCTGTTGAGGACATGCATTCCCTTTTGTCAATCAGTGGAACTCTATGCTTATGCATGGAAAGTAATGTGAGGAGTGCTGTTTCTATGAACCACCTGCATTGATGTTTATCGGCTAGCTGCACGTGAACACTTATGATGGTTTCAAACTAGCTCAAAATGCATGTGGATTACAGGAATACTCTCTTTGATTTTTGTGTTTCAGGTTGAAATCATTGGCTTTCATAGACTGGAACTCTAGTTTCGTTTGCATGGATGCAAGTCAGTTTTTTTCAAAGTTAGCTTTGTTATTGTGCCATTCTTGTCATGAACTAAACTCATTACCATTTATGTACAGTATCTTTATCAATGTCATAATCTGACTTTTTTTCTGAGTTTCTTTTCTGTTTGTTTTTTTCCCCCCCACAAGGGATTTTTGAACTAGTGATAACAAGGCGCTCTGATTGTTTTTGTTGTAGAATACGATCGGGGATATATTCACACGTTATAGAAATGAAAATTATGGTGCATAAAATTGATTTTAAGATAAAAAATAGACGATAAAGAATTAACTTGACGGAGCTCAAACTCAAAACACACGGCAGCAACAAACAGGAAGTCCTATATATATATATAGTATATGTATGGACCACGTTGTGCAAGTTTATGTAACCTTGAGATAAGTGGAACGAGCATTACGTTAACTTTATCAATATGGGGAAACTCCGCTTCTCTGAAATACTGAAGCCTGAATTGATAACGTCCGTGTTGCTGCATGAATAAATGGCATTTCAGCCTGTCAAAACAGGTGGGCCCGGCTGCCTATCCACTTGTTAAGTCTGACGTCACGTGTCACCGCTTCCGTGTCCAAACGCTCTATCAGATACCACGAGAAAACAACAAAAGGTGCTAATATACACTCACAATGTGATATAATACTACCAAAAACAATATAATCCTAACCTTTAACTCCACACCGAAATCCCAGATAGCCAGACAATGAAAATATAAATATAAATAAATAAATATAAAAATTATTTGTGTTTGAGATGCTGTGAGCATGGAGACTGTAGTGTAGACCGTAAGTTTGAAAACGTTTAGCTTAAATGTTTAATATAAATAAACAGTGCTCATAAACGGCTGCTGAGGTTGTATTCTCAAGTGAAGTGAGTTGAGGCTTGGACCCGGAAACAGCGCTTCTTACGTCACCACTTAACAACCGAATACAAGTCAGTGCTGAATGATATTTCATCAGAATCGTTCAGCTGAGAAGTGGCAGAATCGACTTAGGTGCAGCACTGTAGCACAGCCAGCTACACAATGCTCATTCCTGTTAGCTCAGGGAGCAAAGGTTATGTTAGTTACCAGAGCATTCTCTATCGATACAGTTCACTCGCATTGTGTTAACTTTAATGCTATGGCAAACAAAATAAAATAGCACCCTGCTACAAGCGCAGAATGAAAAGCCATCCTGCGAGCCCAGCCCTAGGGCGCTTAAGATGAGGGCCCTAAGGGTTGCATGGGCTAATATAAGGGTGGAATTAATCCAGAATCAATTGGTGCTTTTCCTCTGCATGGTACGGCACGGCACGGCTCACTTTTGGGGGGTTTTCCACTGTGTACAGTACCTGGTATCTGGTACTTTTTTCAGTACCACCTCGGCTGAGGTTCCAAGCATGTCCCAAATATTTGAGAGATTGCTAAAGAACAAATGAAAGTGTAGTAGTGTGATTTGGGTTGAAATGAAAGGAGCAGAGCCCTATGGGTCACATATGGCACTTTTCCACTGCATGGTAGGGCACGGTATGGCTCACTTTTGGGGGGTTTTCCACTGGGTACAGTACCTGATACTTTTTTCAGTACCACCTCGGCTGAGGTCCCAAGCGAGCCGTACCGTTACCAAACTGTGACGTGTAAACCCTGCTGATCACTGATTGGCTGGAGAGAATCGTCACTACCCGCGTCATTGAACTTGCGACACGAGACACTAGACCCTCTAGATTAAAATAGCACAGCCAGCGAGGATCGAATGCAACTTTTTTTGAATGAATGCAACAGTTTTGAACTAGCCTTTTTTTAAACAACAAAATAATGGCTGTTTCGTGGTCTGTTGAGGAAGTACAGACGTTCCTCTTGTTGATAGCCGAGAAGCGGATCCAGCGAGAGATTGATGGGACGACAAAATTAATGAAAGAAGTTTTTCAGGAGGTCGCGGCAGTAGAGGCGGCGCAACTATAACGACATGTCTATAATCCCACCCACTCTAAAGCGGTACTAAAACTGCAGTGGAAATGCAAACTGAGCCGAGCCGATTTTTATTGATGGATTTTTAGCCGAAATTTATTTCATGCTAAGTATACTACAAATACATTTACATATTACTAAACTGGTATACTTAAAGTCTGCTAAATTGGAACAACTAATTTTGTACTTTGTACCACAAGAAAGTAGTGCTGAAGTCCAACTAAAGATATACTGAAATTTATTTGATTGTGTTAAAAGTGGAACTATCGCAAGTATACTTCAGGTACACTTTAAATATCTTGCATTTAAATATTATTCAAAGATCCTCAGATCCTGATCCAAGATGAAGATCCTCATAGTGACATTAAAACACATTTTAGGCTTAATATTGAGAAATGTCCATTGTTCACAAGTAGTACTCCAAATAAAGTATAATAAAATGTTAAAACATTTAAACTAGTATGAAATAAATTTATTTTCAGTACAGTATATTACTATTTTACTAGGGTTTGTAATAAAAAATATTATAGCAAATACCATTAACTGAATGATAATGAAGTAATGAATTGCATAACTAATTATTATAAACAATAATAATAATAATCCCTTCTCTGCATTCTCTCTTTTGTGGCTAAGCAGTAACTGAGTGCCTATGATATACCATTAGAATGTAAGTTATTGGTTACTACCTGCTAGCTAGCGACACTTTACTGACATTAAATGCTGAATATTTTAATTTTGTTAATCATCATCCAGCTCTTTGTCACAAAATACGCTTAATAATACATCTTCAGTAGATAAAAACCGCTGTCTTCTCTTCTCACCTACCAGGCTTACTTGGCGTGTCAGCCATTTTGACTCATGTGCTGGTTCTTACCCCTCAATAGACAGCTTGTTGATATAATGGCCATGTTAAGTCAAGTCACCTTTATTTCTATAGCACTTTATACAATAGAGATTGTGTCAAAGCAGCTTCACAGTGATAAACAGGGAAATCAATTGTAATCAATGGAAACTCTACTCAACAACTAAGTATGAGTATTTAAGTGTCTCTTTATGGAAGTATTAATCTATGTGCTGTACTAAAATAGACAAAATTGTCTATTCATTTTAATTGGATAGCAATACATTCATGTCTAGCAACTTGACAGATGTTTTTAATATCAGTAAGATATATAACGATTAAGGTAGCAATTAATGGTCTTTAAGTATTTGGTGCATCAGAGATTACTTTGCAAACTAATTATTTTAGACTTTATTAAACTTTGTGAAACTATAATGATTTTTATGCATTTTTTTCTCTTCAAGTCAGTCTATTGAACCATTTACACTTTTTAAACTATTGCACCTAAAAGGGGTCATCATATATAGAAATGGTAATCAAAAACTTACATATGTTTTGTTTGTTGTTGCTGTAGTAACCAAGGCATGAGCCATTCTGGAAAGGGGGCAGATAGCAGCAGCTATTCATTTAATGGGATAGTTCACCCAAAAATGAAAATTTGATGTTTATCTGCTTAACCCCAGGGCATCCAAGATGTAGGTGACTTTGTTTCTTCAGTAGAACACAAACGAATATTTGTAACTCAAACCGTTGCAGTCTGTCAGTCATATAATGGAGGTGAATGGGAATCACGGCTTTGAGAGTAAAAAAAAACATACACAAACAAAACCAAATTAAACCCTGCGGCTCGTGACGATACATTGATGTGTAAAGACACGAAACGATTGGTCTGTACAAGAAACTGAACAGTATTTCTATAGTTTTTTTACCTCTGATGCACTGCAATTTCTGAACTGTCATGAACGCATCCTGAGCGTGTTAAAGCAAGAAGAAGAAGAAGACGCCTCACGCGCCTGCTGTCGAGGACGCGCTCATGACAGTTCAGACATTGCAGTGCATCAGAGGTAATAAACTATATAAATACTGTTCAGTTTCTTGCACAGACCGATCATTTCGTGTCTTTACACATCAATGTATCGTCACGAGCCGCACGGTTTAATTTGGTTTTGTTTGTGTATGTTTTTTTTACTCTCAAAGCCGTGATTCCCATTCACTTCCATTATAAGACTGACAGACTGCAACGGTTTGAGTTAAAAATCTTCGTTTGTGTTCTACTGAAGAAACAAAGTCACCTACATCTTGGATGCCCTGGGGGTAAGCAGATAAACATCACATTTTCATTTTTGGGTGAACTATCCCTTTAAAGAAAAAAAAAAAAATTTTTTTTTTTTTTTTTTTTTTTGCTTCTAACTAAAACTAACTAACTATTAACTTTTTTACAGCTTGACATTTTTAGATAATGGAATAATAATCATTTTAAGTTCCCCTGAAAATGATTTGTTATCCTGTGTTTCTACCCCACTGAATTGTTGGTCAATGCTCCTTGACTGATGTTTCCAAAATGTTTAATGCGTTGACATTCAAGTAAACACTGTAAGAACTACAGAAACACACAAAAACAGAAACAAACACTACATAAACCAAACACGAAACCCAACATTACAATAAGCAATTTGCATCATACAATGTACAATGATAAAATCATTTACCTTATAACCCTTTCAGTGAGATGAACAAATACAATAAAGAGAGAAAGAACTGCCACAAGCTGCAGGCTGCTTCTTCCACAAAGCGTGCACACACATACACTTAGCGGAAATGGGTCGTGCTTTATGCAGACACCACAATTTAATTTTGTGGTGCTTATAATTAAGTGATAAAAAGCAGTTGCAAATGTTGTACAAAATAAATATCACCACTACTCATTTGCACCAATAAAACATGCAAATCTTTGTTTTACTTCCAAATTATATGTAATATCTCATTATTAATATTTAACATATATTGTAAAGGTTTCCGTGACCTCTCGCGAGAACTCGACAAAAACTCTCATGATTTATTTCCAGAACATGATGCATGATGGGATGCACTAAGCTTCTAATATCGCTCCGGAGCGGTATATGAGAGATAGTGTGGATTTAGTGTACGTTAAGTGCACTGTGTTTTGGTGTTTTTAAGACCTGGGACAGTCTTGTGCACTTGCATCCTGTCGCGCGCACACGCTCTCAAGTGGCCAAGACCGCAGGTGTGGGTATTTGGACATGGCGATAGTCTTCAGGATTACTAAGGCTATAGGCAGGTGAGGTTTTTTTTCAGGGTTGGAGCTAAACTCTGCAGGACAGTGGCTCTCTTGGACCGAACTTGCCTACCCCTGGTATAGGGTCTGTTGTTGGTTTAGATGATTCAACAAGTTTATACAATTCTTCCTCTCCTATAGCAAAAAAATGAATGGAATTGATACTCAGGGCATCTATAATTCACTCTGATGTGATCCTATAGCAAATGGTTGCAGGGTTATAATTTTCTCTGATAGTATCAAGCTTGTACCTTAATACCTAGGGTAGTGTTTGTTTTCTTCTAAAAAAAATTATGTAAATAAATAATAAAAGTACTGTATGCAGATATAACAATTTTAAGGCCTTTCTATAGGTAGAAAAACTGTCCTTCATCACAATGCAAAATACCTCTAATTTGTTTTCTTCTAGCTGCACTCCATTTTCTGGGCTGGTCTCTTCATGTCATTCTCTCCTCTCCTGTAATTCTTAACTGAATTGTCTTAGACGCGATTCCCCAGTGTGATCAGAGCTATCCATGGCTAGCTTTAATTCTTATCAGAATTGCCTTGGGAATTGGAGAATTGGCCTGATTCTCCAGTGCGGTCAGAGCTATCATGATTAGCAGTCAGAAAAGTTGCCTAATTATATAATTTTTGGTGTTGGGAGAGCTCTGATTGTACCCCTATTGATGCAAACTTAAAAAAATGCTGTAAAGCAGCTATAGCAAAACAATAGTATCATTATTCAGTTGCAGTCAGTTCAGTATAGGTTCGGTTAAAATAAGGGGCGTAACATTTCCGTCACACGCTTGAGGTATTCGGCCAACTTCGACATACTTTTCTGACTCAAGTTGGGCCAATCTAAATTTTTGTAACTGACTTTTAAAAATTATGACCAGTCTTTAAGAAAACAAATTAGATGACTAACTTTTTAAGACTAGTCTAAGCAGTTTATGCAACCGGCCCCCAGTTCTCTTGGGGGACCAGTTTTCATCTGGCCTAAATGAGCAAACACAGTGAGATTTTGTCAAGTAAAGTCACATTTATTTCTATCGTGCTTTATACAATACAGATGGTGCAGCTTCACAGAAATAAACAGGAAAACAGCAGAATCAAGTATGGATTGTATTGTATTTGTATAAACTGAGACATTGGCAAAATCTCATCTTTAGTAAGTCATTGTAGCCACTAGATGCCTACTAAAACTTTGAAAGATGGAAAATGTATTTAATTATAGTGATTTTGAAGATAATAGTAAGTACTGTATACATATAAAGAGAGATATTTGCAAAATGTCACCTTTAGTAAGTATGGACACTAGACTTACTCAGCAAAGACCTTGACAACTTGACAAATCCTCGGCACAGACCCATATGGCTAGCTATGAACGCGCTACGCCAGGACCTGCTAGGACCACAACACATTCAGCACAGCTATGCCTTCATGTTTCAACCTGCTGGACAGACTGCAGGGGTAGACTGGCCATCTGGCATATAGGGCATTTTCCATGTGTGCCGACGCACTTTGGGGCCGATACCATGGTCCATCATGCAGAGACAATGGCACATTGGTTTGTCTTCTGTACTTACAGCGTAATCCTAATCGCAGTGCGCCATAGACGGAGTGATAAAGTATCTTGCTCCGCCTATATAAATATTGCTTCACCCCTAGAAATATGTTTGCTTTAAATCTTTTAATTGTACATCTAATTATTAACTTTTTTTAAACTGTTCATGCTACATGTAGCATCTTTGTGGTAAAATGCAGTGGTTGCCTCTAATTTCAAATGGCTACAGATTTTTTTAAGGCCAGTTCAGCCTCTAATAGAGCAAATAAACAGCTTGTTCATGTATTCTTTAATTCTTTCTTGTCTCTTGCTTAAAGAAAAAAAAAAACAGCAATCGGTATCAGAATCAGCCCATTTGCTGACAACCGGAATTGTCCATGAAAAATCTCGGTGCATCTCTAGATTGTGTTTCCTCAAACAGTCATAACTTTGACTGACTATTAATATTAAGTCAAGGGTGAGTGAGTACACTGGTCCACTTAAACTGGTATACATGCACATAAACACACACAGTGAAACAGTGAAGGGAGACTTCCTGTTACTTCCTGCTAGATCCATATTATAGGTCAGTCATTCTGTCATGCAGTGTAAAAGACTTTAATAAATAAATTGAGAAACACTAGGAACACTTACAACAACTCACAAAACACGAGTGAAACACAAGCACTTATTTGTTCACAAGAGAACCAAGCTTAAGATAATAAGGGGGCATGGTTAATGGAAAACACCTGGGAAACCTAATCAAGGAAAACTACAAAGAACTACAAAACAAGGCACAAGACAGGAAATAACATAAGTCTACAAGCACACAGGGAATACAAGACATGAGTAAAGGTGCGTTCACGCCATATCGGAATTCCCGTAATTACGAGATTCCAACTTGTAAAAAGCGTTCACGTCCTCGTAGAACTCGTAATTACAACTTGTGAACTGTGAGTTTTCTGAGAGCTACGACTTTGTACCACGTGACCGCTGTACCACCTGATCACCGCAGGCTCTGTTTAGGCGTTGATAAAGCCATAGAAAAGCATAATTCCGAGTCCGAGGACGGGAACAGCTCCGAGTAGAACGTCACGTGCTGTCATCTCGAAATTACGGTAATTACGATATGGCGTGAACGCAGCATATTGTACGTGTAAAAATAGAGCTATTGGCAAAATCTCATCTGTAAGTCAAGCATCAAATTTTGCCCTACCTACAACCTTGAGAATGTGAAAATATTTGATTTTGGTTTTTTTCTTATATTATATTTAACAAAGTGGGTTGAAATTTTAGACCATGCAAATTTCTGTTAATGTCTCTGACATTTTGTTTACCAGCAGGGCTGGCAGATTCTATTCCTGGAGGTCTGTCTTCTTACAGAGTTCAGTTCCAACCATCTTTCAACACACTTGTTTGTAACTGCCAAGTGTTCCTGAATATCTTAATTAGCAGGTTCAGTTGTATTTTATTTATTTTTTTATGTTGTTGTTTTGTTTTTTGTTTTGTTCTTTTAAGGTAGATCTCCAGGAACAGGACTGTGCACTTCTGGTTTGTACAGTACCATTGTTTGAAAATGTCCTTTAGATAGGTCCATTGGTCAACCAAATATTATATAGTAATAACAACAACAATAATAATGAATACAAATCTATATAAAAAAAACAATGTGGTAACACTTTACTTAAAGCCTTTATGTGTAATGCATTATAAGGTGTTAGTACAGGGTATAATGTATTATAGTTATTCATAATGTGCGTTGTAATACATTATATCTTGTCGTAAATAATTTTAACCGAATTAAAAATGCATAGTGTAACAATGAATTGATAAGTGTTATAGGCCTGGTTTCAGACAGGGCTTAGACTAAGCCAGAATTAGGTTATAGTTCAATTTGGACATTTAAGTAATTTTTATAAACATGTCTTTGAAAAAAAAAAAAATTACTGTTGTGCAGGTGTGCATCTTGAGACAAAACTAGGGCACTGACATATTTTAAGATCAATTAATGCAAGTTTCTTTCAGTTGAAACAGCTCAGAGTTCCATTTTAGTCTGGGATAGGCTTTAGCCTAGTCTGTGAAACCGGGGAATAATGTATAAACTGTGGTTACAGTTATTCATGAGATTGTACAATGTGCATTACACATATAATGCACATATAAGGTGCATTACATGGCATAATTAATGCATTAAAACTACTTTTATAATGCAATATACATAAAGGCTTTAAGAAAAGTGTTACCAAAAATTATTTTAAATGTTTCCAGAATGATTGTTCTTCTACAAAAAAAAAAGTAAATAAAATGACAATTAAGTGCCAAAACCATTTTATTTTACTATATGCTATCATTTAGTGTAATACCCAATGTGATTTAAAGCATCAGAAACACATATATTAATTATTATTAGTAGTTGTTGTTGTTGGAATACAAGTACTTTCAGGGAGAAATTTTAGATTTGTCAAGTGACAGGAATTTGACCCATTTACTTTTGTAGGTAGCGGTTAATGGTGTTCACATTTTGGAGTTCAAACACAGAATTCCTCTTGAGACGGTCGACGCATTTTCAGTCTCTGGAAAAGTAGAACTGCATGCCATTGGCTTTATCCCTGACTCAGTAAGTGGCATACTCTACTAGTTAGTAAGTACTGTTAGTATAATAATCATCCCATGTGAAATAGCACTCTCTCTCTCTCTCCCGCCCGAGGAAGCTGAAGCATGGAGGAGATCATCCGTTGACTCACGGAGATCACCACACGTCAGCAACAGTTCACGGAGCAGCTTGCATTGAGGAAAGAAAGGATTGAGCAGGTGGTCGATGTGCTACAAGCCGCTGCAGCTCGGGCTACCCTACACGAGCCCTGGGTTCTGGCCCACCAGCATCTCACCAAGCTCAGCGACCAGGATGACATTGAGGCTTACCTCCACACATTCGAAGTCATCGCAACCAGAGAGTAATGGGATAGAGAGGAATGGGGGCGAGTATTGGCACCGTTCTTAACGGGAGAAGCCCAACGGGCATATTTCTTCCTTCATTCCCCGCAGAATGAGGATTATGAGGCTCTGAAGCATGAGATCCTGGCTCGGATGGGGCTGTCACCAGTCAGTGCAGCCCAGCAATTCTGTCAATGGATCTACGATGAGCACCCGTGAGAGTACAAGCAACACGGTTAACGCGTTTCGCTCACCTCTGGTGAGAAAGTGGTTATTGATCGCCTGCTCCGAGCGCTCCCTCGACGTTACCGAAGACCTGTGAGTATGCGCAACCCCAAAAGTCTGGCTGAGCTGGTAGAGTCGGTGGAACTAGCGGAGGCTAGGAAAAGTTGCTGTTGGTAGTACCAAGAACCAAAACGGAGACCGTGATGGAATTAGCTCACTCGCATCCGATGGCGGGGCACCTCGGGGCAGCTAATACGATACAGCGGATACGGGATCGTTTTCACTGGCCGGGATTGGATGCAGAAGTAAAGCGGTTCTGTCAGAGCTGTCCCATGTGCCAGCGCACGTCACCTCGGCGTCCTCCCCCCAGTCCACTAGTGCCGCTGCCCATCATCGAGGTGCCCTTCGACCGCATTGGGATGGACCTGGTAGGGCCCCTGCCGAAATCTGCCCATGGCCATGAACACATCCTGGTCATCGTGGATTACGCTACCCGGTATCCTGAAGCTGTGCCCCTGAGCCACCGCTAAAGCCATCGCAAAGGAACTCTTCCTGCTGTTCAGCCGTGTGGGCATTCCTTCAGAGATCCTGACTGACCAGGGAACCCCGTTCATGTCCCGGCTGATGACGGACCTCTGTCAGCTGCTCAAGGTAAAGCAGCTCCGCACGTCTGTCTACCACCCCCAAACGGATGGTCTCGTCAAAAGATTCAACCAAACGTTAAAACGGATGTTATGGCGAGTGGTGACAGAGAACGGGCGTGACTGGGACCTCATGCTGCCGTATGTGCTCTTCGGCATCCGTAAAGTTCCCCAGGCATCCACAGATTCACGCCCTTCGAGCTACTATTCGGCCGCCAGCCTCGCGGGCTTCTGGACGTGGCCCGGGAGGCATGGGAACATCAGCCAGCTCCCCACTGCACTGTCATCGAGCACATAAAAGATATGCGTGAACGGATCGAACGAGTGATGCCCCTTGTCAAGGAACATATGACAGAGTCCCAGCACGCCCAGCGGCGGCTGTATAACCAGACCGCCCAACCACGGGAATTTCAACCGGGAGATCGAGTCTTGGTGCTCCTGCCCACAGCCACCTCCAAGTTTCTGGCATCGTGGCAGGGACCATGCACCGTGGTGGGAAAAAGTGGGGCCGGTTAACTATCGCGTCCGTCAGCCGGGGCGCAGACGAGAAGAGCAGATATATCACGTAAACCTGTTGAAGAAATGGACGGTACCACGAGAACAGCTGGCCGCCTTCGCGCGGGAGGAAAGCCTCGTTGTGGCAATGGGAGAGCAGCTGTCCCCAAACCAAAAAGCGGAAATAAGCGCCCTGGTCCACCTCCAAGTTTCTGGCATCGTGGCAGGGACCATGCACCGTGGTGGGAAAAAGTGGGGCCGGTTAACTATCGCGTCCGTCAGCCGGGGCGCAGACGAGAAGAGCAGATATATCACGTAAACCTGTTGAAGAAATGGACGGTACCACGAGAACAGCTGGCCGCCTTCGCGCGGGAGGAAAGCCTCGTTGTGGCAATGGGAGAGCAGCTGTCCCCAAACCAAAAAGCGGAAATAAGCGCCCTGGTCAGTCAGTTTAAGGATGTATTCAACGAACTTCCCGGGCAGACCAACATCATACAGTGTGAGATCCGTACGTCCCCTGGTGTCATTATTCGGCAGCGGTCCTACCGTGTACCAGAAGCTCGCCGGCTGGCTATAGAGAAGGGGATAACGAGGATGAGACAGTTTGGGGTAATTGAAGCATCCCGTAGCCCGTGGTCCAGTCCCGTCGTTATGGTCCCAAAAAAAGATGGCACTCTCCGCTTCTGTAATGACTTCCGGCGGCTTAACGAAATCTCCAGCTTCGATGGTTATCCCAGCAGTGGATGAGCTCCTGGACCGGCTGGGCAGGGCCCATTTCATAACCACGCTAAACCTGACAAAGGGCTATTGGCAAGTGGCCCTGACTCCCGAATCGCAGGAAAAGACCGCGTTTAGCACCCCCCAGCGGCCACTGGCAGTACTGGGTTCTACCCTTTGGCCTGAACGGAGCCCCAGCCACGTTTCAGCGAATGATGGACATTCTACTTCGGCCGCACCAAGAGTACGCAGCGGCATACTTGGACGATGTAGTCATCCACTCTGTGAGCTGGGAGGACCACCTAGACCGGTTGCGGAGAGTGCTAATGGAGTTGCGGCGGGCTGGACTCACAGCCAACCCAAAGAAATGCCATCTGGGACTCGCAGAGGCAAAGTACCTGGGTTACCAGATCGGACAGGGTCTGATCAAACCACAGAGTAAGAAGGTGGAAGCCATCCAGAAAGTGGCTAGGCCCATCAATAAGACCCAGGTACGTGCCTTTTTGGGTTTGGCGGGCTACTATAGATGCTTCATACCCAATTTCTCTTCCATAGCCAGCCCGCTGACAGACCTGACCAAAAAGGGGCAGCCGGAAAAACTAAAGTGGTCTACGGAGGCAGAGACCGCGTTCCAGATGCTCAAACATGCGCTCTCCTCATCGCCTGTCCTCCATGCCCCGGACTTGAGTTGTCCCTTCATTCTACAGACTGATGCTTCCGATGCCGGCGTGGGCGCGGTCCTGTCACAGGTTAAAGGGGAAGAAGAGCACCCAATCATCTACATCAGTCGGAAGCTCACTCCTGCCGAAACCAGGTACGCGGCTGTAGAGAAAGAGGCGTTGGCCATTAAATGGGCCATCCTAGAGCTGCGCTATTATTAGCTGGGCAGGAGATTCACGCTGGTGACCGACCACGTGCCGCTACAGTGGATGGCTCGAGCAAAAGACACAAACGCACGAGTCACTCGGTGGTTCCTCGCTCTCCAAGACTTTCATTTCAAGGTGCAACATCGGGCTGGAGCCGCCCATGGCAATGCCGATGGGCTGTCAAGGATGTGGTCAGGATGGGCAGGTCTGTCGGCTAATACTTCCCCCCCCCCACCCCTACTCTCCCCTCTGTCTATTCACAGATGCGCACGACGTACCAGGACGACGCTTTCGGGGGGAGTGTGGCGAGTCATCCAATTCCGTTCCGTCTCGCGCTCAGCCGCGTCCGCACAGCTTCCAAAGTATACTCAACCGCGGATGAGTGTGGACGGACGAGCTCGACACAGGCGCAATTTGACTTGCGCTCTGTCTCAACTTTCACCTCGCGCATGCGCTGTTGTACGCGGACTGTCCGCGCGAAAATTGCCTGCACGCGGACGGGGTGCGCGGCGGTCCGTGAGCTCTCCTGATGACGAAAATTACATAATGTGGACATGGCGCACACGTGAGGCTGTAGTGCTAATGCGTCCCAGCCCCCTTAGATGTAAGGCTACATTTACACTGGTGCGTTTATGTTTTAAAATGAAAACGATCCTCGTCATACTGGCGCTTCCACTGCGTTTCAAGACGGCTTTCCACTATCTCCAAGCGACAGACCGGTCATTCAGTCATTAATTTCCAATGGAGAGTAGCGTGGGAACTGCGTGGATTTCCGATCATATGCAGATGTCTGTTCATACTACACGACCGAATGCGCGTGTTATGTGGCCATTCATGCAAACTGTAGCATCATGCTAAATAAGACAATAAATAAGATTTATATTCCGCTTTTACTCAAAACTCACTTTAAACCACCATCGAGTGTTTGTAATAACTTCCGATTGCCGTCTAATGTGTGTTTTGGCCATGTAATGTTGCTGAAATTAAATATGTTATTACCTCTGACTCTGAGTCAGAGCAGCGATCATGGAAGAGAGAACACAGGCAGACAGCGCTGGAAGCTGCTAATGCTCCTCAGTAAAATAAATAGTGGAAAATAAATAGAAATCATGATTCTGTCTGAGCTATGCGTTTTAAATCGAACACGCACTAGTGTAACTGCCTAACAGATGTGTAAACTGAAGACTATTTGAGCTTTATTAAAACTATTTTAATAAACACTATATATACACTATAGCGAAGTCCAACGAAGGGATTGTCACTCTAGTGGGCGGCTTTAACCACTTAGCTCCAGGAATGAAGTGGGCAACTAGAGGGTGCTTTCCCACAGAAACCCCATCAATCAGAACATGGCAAGCCGAAATGGCGGCCACATAGACTCTGAGAGTACCAGGACATGTGCCTGAGGACAGTTTCTCTTGCAGGAACTCCAGCACTGAAGCAACTTGGCAGTGCATTGGGTCTGCATGATGTGCCATACACCTACTTTCAAAAACGCTCCATCTGAGGGCATAACTTTTTCTAGAGAAGGGAGCCCTAGCACTTAGAATAGTCTGTACTACGTCGGCTGGAAGCCTAGCATCTCTTAGCTGGTCCCCCTCAGGGGCCAGACATGAAGGTTCCAGAGCTCGGGCCGGGGATGAAATACTGTCCCCTGCGCCTGAGATAGGAGATCTCTCCTGACCGGAATCGCCAATGGCGAGCCGTCGAGGAGGGATATTAGATCTGAGAACCATACTCGGTCAGCCAACGGGGTGCTATCAGTAAGAGGCGAGACCCTTGTTCACGGACCATGGCCAGGACTCCCGGTAGCAGAGCGATCGGAGGAAATACGTAAAGGCGCAGTCTGGGCCACGTATGGGCAATCGCGTTCAGACCCAGGGGAGCTGGAGGAGTCAGAGAGAAGTAGAGGGGACATTGTGCTGTCTCCTGTAAAACAAAGAGGTCCACCTCTGCTTCGTGAAATCTTTCCCAGATTTGACTGACTACTTCGGGGTGGAGTTTCCATTCCCCGTGTGTCACAGCTTGTCTGGACAGCAAGCCTGCTCCCACATTCATATGCTTGAATGTGATTCATATTCATAGGGGATGTAAATCGCCCTGAGGGACAGGTACTTGTCCTGTGCCCAAAGCAGAACCTGCTGCTTAGCGCCTGTTTAGGCGGCGTGAATGCATTCCGCCTTGGCGATTTATGTAAGAGACTACCGCAGTGTTGTCCACCCACACTAGGACATGGTAGCCTCTTAACTGCTGGAGGAAGTATTTCAGGGCCCAAAATAGAGCCATCATTTAACCCTTAGCGCGTAACCCTTATTTGCCTCTGGGGATTGGTCCTTGGATGAAATCCCCTGGCTCTGGGCCACAACTGAAATGATCTCATGTGAAGGAGGCCCAAAGGTATCACTGTGGATGCAGCTGTCATGAGACCTAGAATCCTTTGAAAGTAATGAACAGTAACTTTCTGGCCTAGCTTGATGTTCTTTAGGGTGTTTAGAATGGATTTGACGCGTGCAGGAGACAGCCGTGCTTGCATCGTGATCGAATCCCATACAATCCCCAAATACGTTGTCCTCTGAGCAGGAGAGAGAACGCTTTTCTTGGCGTTGAGTCTCAACCCAGGAAATTTAAGATGAGCTAGGACGACATTCCGATGTCGAAGTGCAAGCTCTTGAGACTGAGCCAGAATCAGCCAGTCGTCTATGTAATTTAAAATGCAGATGCCCTCGAGTCACAGAGGAGCCAATACTGCATCCATGCATTTTGTGTATGTGCGGGGTGACAAGGCTATGCCGAATGGAAGAACCCGATACTTGTAAGCTTCGTCCCCGAAAGCGACCCTCAGGAACTTCCTGTGTTGTGGCAAGATTTCTACGTGAAAGTATGCGTCCTTGAGATCGATTGTCACAAACCAATCCCCCGATTGGATCTGAGACACAATCATCTTGATCGTCAGCATTTTGAACTTGTATGTTCTGAGGTAGCGGTTCATCCCGCGAAGATCTAAAATTGGATGCAACCCCCCATCTTTCTTGAGAACCAGAAAATACCGGCTGTAATTGACTCTGTCTGGCAGAGGAACACGTTCTATGGCCCCTTTGTCCAGCAGAACTTGCAATTCCTGTGTCAACAAATGCGCTCGTTCCGGTTTCACGGAAGTGGAGATCACGCCGGTGAAACGCGGAGGCCGATATACAAACTGAATCCTGTAGCCTTTCTCTACAGTCCTTTCTACCCATGGAGAGATATTTGGCAGTAGCTTCCATGCTGCCAGTTTCTCTGAAAGGGGCACTAGTTTTGACACTTCGCTTTGTTGGGGGGATGTTGGATGTCCGGTGTCCTGAAACGTGGCAAGAGGCAACCGGACATGTAACATTTCGCTTGAGGCCGCTGCTCCCCGAAAAACACTAGTGGTGGCGGAGATTAAACAGCAGTCCCCTGAGGGTGCCAGGAAGGAGCCTCTACTCTCTGTTGGAACTTTTCGTGCCCCTCCTGGGGAGACACACCCCCAGGTTCCCGGGCGCTCGACCCTCAGGACTTCTTTTTGGACTAAATAATCGTCCTCAGATCCGGCTTCTTGCTGGGCTGCTGAGAGTGGCAGTCCCTACGAGGGGGCACACAGCTCACCACACTCTCAGAGGAACCGAAACTGGAATTAAAAATACATTTAGCCCCCCCCCCAAGTTTTTTTTCTCCATTCTGTCACCGATGGAGTTTTGGTTCCTTGCCACTGTCGCCTGTGGATTGCTTTGTTGGGGACACTTCATTTCCAGCGATATCGTCGAATTGATTGCACAGATACTATTTAAACTGAACTGAGCTGGATGATGACATCACTGAATTCAATGATGAACTGCCTTTAACTGAAAATTGAGTGTTTACTATTGTCCTTTTGCATTGACACACTATTTTCCTATTTTGATACTATAAAGCTGCTTTGACACAATCTGTATTGTTAAAAGCGCTATATAAATAAAGGTGACTTGACTTGAGAAGTGCTTTCCCCTCCTTGAACAACTTATAAACAACTTCTTTAACCCTAACACTAGACAATATATTCAATATATTAATCCATATTTCTTCTAATTTCTTCTGTTCACTTGAGACACAACCGATTATGTTTACTTGAATATCATACCATCAAGCATGTCTACGCTTTATTTTTTTATGTTTCTTTATCGCTCCTTTATCGTTTCTTTATCAGCGTGTCAAACCGCTTAGTCCTACTCAAGAGGATGGCTCAAGCTATTTCACTGTTAACAGTACAGATTAACTCCTAAAAATGCTGATATTTAGCTGTTAATGGGCTCTATGTAGAATTCAGAAACCCTTGTTAATTCTTTCATAAAGCCCCTTTAAAAATTGCATTTTGTCCATAGAGACAAGTTGCTAACTTTAGCTAGCAAGCTAACATCACTTGTCAGCTAGCTAGCAAAGTTGTAGAGCTGCACAGCTTTTCCTTCTGTCCTGTAATAACATTCAGTGAGGAATATCTGATATATATTTTAGTACATTGTTTTTTTTTCCCCAGTTGGAAGATGGACGAATTAAAGAGATAGTTCACCCAAAAATGGAAATTCTGTCATTAATTACTTACCCTCATGTCGTTTCACACCCATAAGACCTTCGTTCCTCTTCCAAACACAAATTAAGATATTTTTTATGAAATTTGAGACCTTTCTGTCCCTCCGTAGGCAGCAACGCAACTTTACACATTCAAGGTCCAGAACGGTAGTAAAGACATTTGTTAAAGTTCTCTGTGACTCCAGTTTAACCTCAATTTTATTAAGAGGCACAAGTGCTTTGTTTGCATTTTCTGTCCAGCAAAATACAAATTCCAAAATACGTATATTAAATACATTTAATTAAAATACTGCCCATCTCTGTGAACAGTAACGGTGCATTTACACTGCAGAAACAAAAATCCGCTCACAACGCTACAATGCCTGCATTTAGGGGCTTGTTTGTACCAAGTGTGTTTAATATATATATATA